AAGGGAGAGAGGAGGAGAGGGAGGCAGAGCAGGGGTGGGGAGATGAGCTTCCCTGCCCCCAGTACACCTCTTCCCTCAGCCCTCCTGTCAAGCCCACATTTCACATCACCCCCCAGTTCTGCCCCACCCCTTTCATACTTGGCATTAGAAGGAGGCTCTCTCCTCTCCTCCGCCCACCCACCCCTAAGCAGCTCCTGACCACAGATTCATGGGTAAATTCAGTCCCAGTCCCTTCCATGGCTTGTGCTCAGGCCTTCCAAGCTCCACCCATGAACCAGTCACTATGGGCAGGGACCATGGCAGGCCTAGAGCCCCCAAGAAGCAGTTCCATTGGCCCTGGAGTCCAAACCCCAGAACTGTGACCTCATCAGCATCCATAGGCCTGAAAGACCCAGCAAGGCCAGCCTGTCCCAGCCTTCTCACTGGGCTACCACAGTACCCCTAAAAAGAGCTTCAAGCCTTCAGGACCAGCAGCAGGCAGCTCTCTGGCACAACGGGCAGTCATTGATGGCGAGAGACGTGCCTCAAGAGCAGAGCATGCTGGCCTTCAGTATCCCAGACTCCACCTGCCTGGCCAGAGTGCTAGACACTAAAGACTGCCCCCCTCCACTCCAAGGCTGGTGGTGTAAGACTGCTCCCTGTGAGCTCTCACAGGCCCATGCTGGGGTTCTGGAACCAAACCTTGCCACCCTCCTAGGAACCATCTATGCCTTCTGTCTCCTTCCAGGTCTCTGGAAGAAAGTTTCAAGTATTCTGGGGTGCTGTATCTGATCTCCAGGGCAACAAGATCCCTGGAGGACCCAAGGTGACATACAGCAAGAAGGTCTGGTTTGAGAAAGAAGGAGTTGGTCCCCAGAGAACAGATCTGTGCATGAATGCTAAGCACCTCCTCATCATGGCTCAGGCTCCAAAGGAAGACAGCATGGCCAGTGTGCCTGTGCCCCATCTCCAAGGGCCTAGCCCCTCCACCACCTCCACCTGAGTGGGCACCTACCCTTCCCCCTCTACCTTCAATCAAGCCACTCAGAACTGCAGGAGCTATTCCACCTTAGATTTCACTAAGCTTCCCTTCTACCCAGGTCTTTGAAGGCTCTGGCTTCTTACTCATCCCAAGCAGCAGCATCCTGTGCCACTGACCACAAGGGGCAAACCAGAGTCGGGCTTTACTGGGCTTCATGAGGATGACCATGAAGTTCTCTCTGTCTACAAACCCCATCCTCTCCCTACCTCTTAGTCCATGCTCTAGGAACTTCAATGGGCCAATAACATCCATAGCATACTGGTCTCCTAGCACTCACCTCTCCAAGGAAGACCTGGGCCCATTGTGAGAGGGGCTGGTCTAGGCCTTCAGATCAGCTGAAGCACTGTGGGTACCAAATGGATAAACAGAAGAGGAGGTTGACAAGGAGACATGGGTGAATAGATAAGTGGATTGGTGAGTAGATGGATGACAGATGGACTGTCAGATGAGTAGATGGGCAGATTGATGGATGAATAGATGAATGGACGAGTGGATGGATGATAGATGGACAGATAAAATAGGTGGGTGGATGAACAATATATGGACAGATGGATAGCTGGGTGGGTGGATGGATGAATGATGGAAGTATAGATGGAGAGATAGATGGGTGGGTGGATAGATGATGGACAGATGGATGGGAAGGCAGGCAGACAGATGGGCACCTTGTGGATGGGCAGTACCACTTCTTAATAGGATCAGGGCATGTGCTCCCCTGGAAGACCCAGTATTCTGAGTGTGAGGAAGGCCTGGAGATTCCCTAATGTTGCATCAACACATGAAAATACTCCCAGCTGAGCACCTGGCACACAGTAGGCATTTCAAGCTCTAGAGCATCCTTGATCCTCATTGTCCATGCCACCGAGTAGGCAGTGCGGCCTACACTTGTCTCCTGAAACGTAACTTAGAATGAGTTTCTACCATCCTGCATTCTAGCACACTGAACCACTTAACCAAACAGACTCTTGTCCCACATGAAGCCACCACCCCCAGGGATAGCCCCCAGGTAGGAAGAGGAAGCAAGAAGAGCCCGCCTCCACCCTGACCCTCTGCCTGGGGAATTTCCCAGGGCACAGCTCAGATCTACATGGTGAGGTCACTAGAATTACACCACAACCCAACCTCACAGCTCCTGCACCTCACAACCCCTACTCAACCAGGGAAGCCTGAAGAAGCTTCCAGAAAGGGAAAGATAAACATTAGAGGCAGGAACGAGGCCTCCCTGGCACACCCCTGCCACCTCCCATCTCCCTCTTTCCCTGAGCAGCAGCATCTTTTGAGGGTCTTGAGTCAAGAAGATTCCACTATGCCTGGGAGGTCATGGAGCCCAGGGGCAGGGACCATGGCCACAGAATAGAGAGGGGCCAAGCAGGAAGCCACCATTCCTCCCAAGGGGCATGTGCATTGTTTCTGTGCCAAGGGACTCTGGGGAGGAGGAGATATACTCTCCCTGACCCTGAAGCTGCCCTTGCTGCCTTGCAGAGTCCCTCCATCCTGGGGGGCACCATAAAGTAGGATATGCAGAGGACCTGGGGACCTGAGACCCCATGAGGCATTCTCCCTGAAAGACGATCTTGAGCCTTGCTCCTGCTGGGTCCTGGCCTCTGATTTGTAGGTGATGAAGATGGGGCCGGCCACCATCAGAAGCTGCAAGATCAAGTCTAGCTTTGGCCCTACCTAATTCTTCACACCTCCCAGCACCTATGCTCCCTTCCCTGCTCCTATGGAACTCTACACTCCCATGAGGGCACCCATCATGACTTCTTTGAGCTGAGGATATATGCAGATACAACTTCTGCCGGCCATGTCCCAGCCACCATATCCCAAACTCCCATAGACACATGAAAAGGGACTATTAAAATAGGGACTTCAAAAATAAGCAGGTCCTATCCCATAGAAGTTTCAGGACGTGGCTGTAGACAGTAGTCACAGGATCTGAGCCTAGGTCTGGGAGATTCACAAAGCCAGTGTCCCTTCAGAGGGAAAGGCCTGGCCCTAATGAGATGACCCTCCTGACAGTTGGCATTTGCACCATGGCCCAGGCCAAGAATCCTGGTCATGCCATTCACCAAGCAACTGAACTTCAAACTCAACACCTGCCCACTATAGTGGCTTTGAACCTGGGACCCCTGGATGGAGCTGTCACAAGTCCTGTGCCATACAGAGTTTGACTGGCTTCTTCACCAAAGCCTAGATACTATGGGCTTCACACCTCCAGCCATTTCTATTTCAATTTGTCCACAGTCATCGGCCCCAGTACACATCCAGGAACCTCTGGGACAAAGGGCCAGAATATGTGGCCCCTTTCCAAGGAGGAGCACCAAGACAGGAGGTCCTCCAGGCTTCACAGGAGAGCCACAAAGAAGCTGAGGCTACCCCCTCCACCTGTGGCAACTTTCCATGATCCTACACAACACAGGAAACTCACTGGGCATCCTTGCACTCTTCATGAGTACACGACACTCCTACCCAGGGTCCCACCATGTTGGGAGCACCTGAGGATCAGCACACGTCTGTCACTCCATGTGCAAACCAGAGAGAGAGAGAGAGAGAGAGAGAGAGAGAATCAAACACAAATCAGAGTCTGGAGTGGCCTCCCCCAGAGGATAAACATCTCAGAAGGATATCTCTCATTTGGGCTGTCTTTCACGCCATGGGCAGTGGGAAATGAAGAGCCTTCTCCTCCCGTGGTCCATAAACTCATACTGGATGGCTGCACTTCAAGGAGTCTGAGACTCAGAATTCACACTGAGCCTCAGTGCCTGGGCCAGGCTTCTGACCAGCATGGCCTGCAGGCATGCATGGGCACAGTTAGACAACATGGTTCATTCACTGGTCCTCTGGTGTCATAACCAGACAGACTTTACCACCAGGATGTTAAAGGAATAATCTCCATGTTTCTGTTGTCAGGGCAGTGTTCACTGTGGATGTACTTTGTCCTGACATGGTGGGTGTCTTGACTTCTGTTTTATATTCTCCTCTCACTTGTGATGCCTTTCTGGGAAAGAAGCTGAACTCCATCTGAACAAGAATAGGTATGGACACACATACACGCACACACACTCCACATTTGTTCCACATCATGGTGATTCAATGCATTAAAACGTTAGACCTGCCAGAAGTAAAGGAACCTGGGACTCAGGTCTGCTGGCTGGTGAACTCACCTCTTTCCAGAGGCTCAGTGGTAGAAACACAAGAAGGTGGCCCCTAGGCAGGCTGGGATCTGTCTCAAATGAATAGCCCTGCATCCTAAGACCAGGCAGGACCCAGGTACCCACAGGCAGCTGCTGGTAAGGGGTGCTATCCCTTGTCGTGGTACAGGGCTAGCCTAGTATAAAGAGCATGGTGGGTGCTTGCTTGTGCCAGGACTGAGAGCCTAGGATAGGCTGGAGGGTGGGGACCAGGCCTTAAGCTGTGACAGGAAAGGCCCAGTAAGACAATACTTGAGGTCAGTGGTCAGAATGTGAGTCCCTGTGAGAGTTCACCGGAGCCCCTGAGTAGCAGACAGGAGGGAGGGCAAGATCTTCCAAGGTGTCTAGAACCTTCTGCATTTGTGGAACACCAGCACAAGGAAGCCACTGGCCAGATGTTCAGACCCTGAATCTCTAAGATCAACGCTGAACCTCCAACCGCCCTGTCTCTTCAGAGTATTTCTGTGCCCCACTAGCTGGTTTGAGTCAGAGTTGGAGACATGTGTCACAAGAGACCACTTTAACTAGTAAAAAGGGCTAAGAACCTCCTTCAGAGGGTGCTGTGCCTAGAAAGGGAAACCCTGGTAAAGTGGCCAGGGGGAGGGCATGTTCATTAGAGGCCACACCCAAAGGGGGACGTTCCAGGGAGCAGGTCCTAGGTGACCTCACTCCACCCTGCTGCCACCAACATGCCCTGCCTTGCTTACCGCCGTGTGCAGAAGGGCAGAACCACACATCTGGAAGTTCCCCCAAAGCCAGAGTTTTCAGGAAGTCCACACTGCACACATTACTCATGGTGCAAAGCTTTATTGGGCACCTCTCAGCAGTCACTCCAGAGGATCCCAGCTGAGCCAGCCTGGGAGGGGCAAGTCTGCCAGGCAGACACAGAACTTCATCTGCTTCGTAGTAGGCTGCTGGCCACTGAGGAAGAACAGGCCAGGTAGAGGGCATGTGCTCCTTTGAGGACAGTCCAGGCAGGAAGACTGGGCTCCCCTACATGGGGAAGAGTGGGACAGGTCAGACTAGGGCTTTGGAAGGAAAGAAAGATTAAGGGGGTCCCAAGGGAAGAGAAAGGCAAGAGGAACACCATGGGTGGAAGTTCAGAGGGAGAAAAGCCCCTGGAGTGTCCAGAGGCCAGTGCAAGGGAAGCAGAGTAAGAGTAACAGGAGTGATGCCCAAGGAGGCCCAAGTCCACGCCACCAAGCCATGATGAGATGGGGCCATACCCAGGTCACTGGACTGTCGTTCTCCAGCACTCTTCTAAGTGTAGGAGCTGAACTATCTTTTCTGAGCGCCTAGGAGGTACCCCTGCTGGGAGAGTGTAAACCACGGCACTACCCACCAAGCTCCATGGAGTCTCCTGACAGCCTTGGGAAAGAAAGGCAGAGACTAAGCCTGCCACACCCATCCACCAGCCACACCTAGAGGCTGGGAGACAAGGGGTTAGTGTCAGGCCCACCAAGCACCCCCTCACAGGCAGAACACTGTGGGCGAGATGTTGCGAGTGGAAGGCTGGCCAAAGTCTAGTCCACCCCAGTCATGCCAGGGCCCGGGCCCCCACCCCCACCCTGAGTTGTGCCAGGGCACCAAATGGACCCAGGCCAACATGTCCCTCCTTTTCTCTCCCCTGTCTGCCCTCTGCTGGAGCTGGAAGAGGGCAGGCAAGAGGGCCCAGGGCATGCCCTGCCTGGGACCTTGAAATATGAACAGCGCCCAACTTGGGTCTCCTCCCAAATCTGCCAGGTCCACAGAGGCCCAAGCATCCCATGGACTTCAGATGGTCTTGGCCTTGGGCCAGTATGCACACTCTAGACAGTTGGGACAAGACAGGGCAGCCTAAGCAACTGGTAGAAAGGGAGAGAGCTATAACTAGTTCCTGGAGGGAAGTGGAAAAAGAGGGGGCTAAAAGAGACGGGGAACAGGAAGAAGGGTGGATGGAGCACTGGGGTAGGAGTTGTCAGGCCAGGTATGTGTCCCAAAGGCACAGAATCACCCATGCCTTGGGTCTGTCCTCACCTGTACAGGAGGCCATAGGAGTCAATGGGTACTTCATCCAGTGCTCTGGAGTCCTGAGGTGTGGGGTATAGCCTGTCCCCCACACACCAGCAGCTGCCCAGCGAGGCTGACAGCTTCTTTCTCAGATGTCCCACATCAGGAAGGAGTGATGATCAGATGTGACTGGTCCCACAGGGCAGGACCAGCAGGGCTGGACTTATGTCTGTCCCAGACTATGACTGCCACATGGCATGTGCATCCAGACACATATGAACATATCCCAGGTGGCCTTTTCAGAAACTGAATGTGGGAAGGGGAGGACCTGCCTCATATCCCTGTCCCAAGTCCTTGAGTGAAGGAACAGGACCCCCGCCCTAGAATGGTATCTCCCAGAGATGAGGGAATCTTGGGCTGAGGAGAATTATCTCTTGCCTTACCCAAGACAGGGTCTCAGAAGCCCCCAATCTGCCTCTCAGACTCTTCAGCATGTCTCTTTTCTATCACCCCAGTCCAAAAGAGAAGGGGGTGGAGGTCTGCAAACTCAGAGAAGCCCTGCTTCGGGATAGAACCATATGAGTGGGACCCCCAGTCAGGTATGTTCAGGGAAAGTTCCCTAGTCCACTTGAAAGACCCTAACATGGCTGCTAGGAACAGTAGGAGTCCACTTCCCTCAGGTGGGAAGTGTTGGGTGTACATCCCGTCCCACAGAGCAGAGAAATCCTCTGACCCAGAGGGAAAAGGAAAGCCCCATTCACAAGCTACTCTGTTCTCCAAGCAAGGTACACTCAGGGCTCCAGCGGCTGCAGCCACAGGTCCCGCCAAAGGAACCCCTGGCAGAGACCGCTGAAACGCAGTGGCGAGGGCGGGCGCCTACCTGTGCCCCCTCCCTCTGGGCCACTTGCCCTGCGGACGGTCGACTTCTCCCGACAAGTTCCTTGGCTAGTGGAAAGCGATCTGCCGGCGCCCACCCGCCCGCCCGGGACGCCAGAGCGGTCTCCGGCGGAAAAGTTAGGCAGCTGGTCTCTGCTGGGAGGGCAGCGCACGGGACACGAGCGGCTGGAGCTGCGGTACCCGGCTGGGGTCCCGTCACCCAGAAAAGCCCCTGCGATTACTGGGGTGTTCTAGGCCGTGCGGCTCCCGGGAGCTTTGGGGTTGAAACCCTGCCCTGGGGAGGGGGGTCACTGTGAGATGTAGCGAAGCGGAACTTGATCAGAGTCTCGGGGACCCCAGGTCAAGGTACCTCCCCGCCCCGCCGCCCCTGAACCCAAAGTCACCAGCAGTGCGCTGCGCGCAGAGACAGATTAGGAGGTCTCCGCCGCCGCGGCGGGGCCTGCCAGAACCCCACGTTGTTGGGAGTTACCCCGCACCCCTAAAAAGCCTCTGCACACGTTCCTAGTTGAAAGTACGCACTTTACGCGTCCGGGCGCCTCCGCGGTGAGTCGGGCCGCCGCGCTCCGGGTTCGCGAAGGTGGCTCAGTTCGGGCGCTCCAGTCTCGACGTTCCCGGGGCAGAGAGCAACGTCCGGGGACGAACGGGACGGGTGCGCCCGGCGGCCAGGGCTGCGCCGGGCGAGGCAAGCACCGAGAGGGGAGCGCTCCCGCGTTCAGCAACAGCTACCCCTAGTGGGAGAGCCGCCCGGGGCCGGCGCCGCCCCGCGCCCGCTGCCCCGCGCCCCGCGCCCTTAGCGCCCCGCGCCCAGGGCGTCCGGGAGCCGGCCGGGGGCGAGGCTCGGCGTCGCTTGCCGCGACTCTCCGGGTCTCCCGAGCCAGGCACTAGCCCACCCTCGGGCTCTGCCCTCTGCACCTCCCGGCTGGAGCCGAGGGGACGCTGACCCGGGAACTGTGGCGCCCGGCGGGAACGAGATGGGACGGGGCGGGCGCGGCGTGGACTGGGGCGGCGCGCGGCAAGCTCGGGCAGCGGCGGGGGGCGCGGAGCGCGGTGTGCGTGGCGGGGCGGTGCGGGGGGCGGCCGTGTGCGAGGCGCGAGTGTGAGCGCGCGCGGGAGGCGGGCGGACGGGCTGCGGCAGTCGAGCGGCGCCCGCGGGCGAGCGGGGAGGGCGGCGGGAACCCAAAGTTGCCTCCTCGCGGGCCCGCGTCCCTGGCGGGACTGCAGCCAGGGGCCAGCCAAGCGGCGGCCGCGGCCCTGGACTCCCGCGGTACCTGGGCAGCGACCCCGCACGAGCGGCAGCAGCGTGGGCGGCGTTGGCGGCGGCGGCGCGCGGGAAGCGAACCGGAGCTCCGGCGCGGCGCTGCGGCCGCCAGGGAACTCAGCTCAGGTGCGCGGCGAGAGGGGCGCGGGCTAGGGCCCGCCCGCTGGGACCTGAGCAGTACGAGGCGCTTGCGCGGGCTAGACCACTGCCACCACCGACTGCCCTGCCCTGGGATCGGGCTCCTAGTCCCCGACCGCAGCGACGCCGGGGTCCCCCCGCCCCTGAGAGCTGGCTGCGGGGCTCAGGCCCGCCCCTGCCAGCCTTGGGACGCACCGCTCCACCCTCAGCCAGCCTGCGCCCGCCCTCGACCCAGGATTTCTGGGGTATTGGCCGCGCCTCTGGGTGATCCCTCAGGGCTCAAGTTGCAAGGGGGCGGGCCCGGGCCGGAGGTGGAGTCTCCCGCCAATTCAAGCTTTGGCTATAAATTGAGCTCCCTGCGCCACCGAAGACCAGATGCCTCGCCAGGCCGCCTCGCGGTTGGTGGTGGGAGAAGGTGAAGGACCCCCGGGGGCTTCAGGACCCGCGGCCACCATGCTCCGCTCCCTGCTGCTTCACTCTCTGAGGCTCTGCGCCCAGACCGCCTCGTGCCTCGTGCTGTTCCCGCGCTTCCTGGGCACGGCCTTCATGCTCTGGCTTTTAGATTTCTTGTGCATCCGCAAGCATTTCCTGCGCCGTCGCCATCCTGACCACCCTGAGCCCGAAGTAGAGCTCAACAGTGAAGGCGAGGAGGTGCCCCCCGACGACCCACCCATCTGCGTATCGGACGACAACCGTCTGTGCACCCTGGCCTCTCTCAAGGCCGTGTGGCATGGCCAGAAGTTGGATTTCTTCAAGCAGGCCCACGAGGGTGGCCCTGCGCCTAACTCGGAGGTCATCCGACCTGATGGCTTCCAAAGCCAGCGCATCCTCGACTACGCACAAGGGAGCCGCCCGCTGGTGCTCAATTTTGGCAGCTGTACCTGACCACCATTCATGGCGCGAATGAGCGCCTTCCAGCGCCTGGTCACCAAGTACCAGCGTGACGTCGACTTCCTCATCATCTACATCGAGGAAGCCCATCCATCCGACGGCTGGGTCACCTCAGATTCGCCCTACACCATCCCACAGCACCGCAGCCTGGAGGACCGTGTCAGTGCGGCAAGGGTCCTGCAGCAAGGTGCACCTGGCTGTCCTCTGGTCCTGGACACCATGGCCAACTCCAGCAGTTCTGCATATGGTGCCTATTTTGAGCGCCTCTACGTCATCCAGAGTGGCACCATCATGTACCAGGGAGGCCGTGGCCCCGATGGGTACCAGGTGTCTGAGCTGCGCACTTGGCTGGAGCGCTATGATGAGCAGTTGCACGGTGCTAGGCCACGCCAATTCTAAATAACGAAGGGACCAGTGACAGACATTGGCGGGCTGGGTCCTCGGGCCTTCGAAGCCCACATGCTAGTGCTACAAACGAAGTCAAGATTTTCGGGGTGCCCATGACACAGATGCGCACAGCCACAGAACTCAGAACTGAGTCTGGCTCTCAGCCAACTAAAGACTTAACATCCCTAAGACTCTGCTATAGTGACTCCCTTTTGTACCTGCTTGGCTTGCTCTCGGGAGCATTGCTGTGGCTCAAACTGGCAACTTTGTCCCTGCTGGAGTTTACCTGCTGGACTTTCTCACACTTGCTCCCCAGCGCTCCTCCAGCAACTCCATAGTCCCCAGCATCTCACAGATCAGACTTGTCGGCCACGCCCGCGCGCGCCCTGAGCGCAGCTGGGTTCCAGCAGCGCCACGGTCTCTTGCTAGTTGCCTGGCACCCACCTGTCGCGCGCAGGGAGTCCTGCTGCTTTTGTGTTTATTTCTTGTCCCTGGGTTGGGGGAGGGGTTCGGGATAGGGGAAGGGTGGGCAGGGTATTTTCCCCGCCTAGCTTTGGGTGCGCTGGAGCCCGGCTGCTGATGACGAACCGTCTCTAACTGGGCTTGACCACGGGTCGGCTCTGAATTGCAGGGGAGCTCTAAAACAGCGCTTAAAGTAAGAGGGGGAAGAGTGCTCTGGGTCCCATGAGGAACCTTCCAAAATGGGGTGGGAGGGGGACGTGGTAAAGGGTAGGCTTTGGGACCAAAGAAGTGGCTTGAAGCATTGGTGAGGTTCGAAGGGCCCCAGAGGGAGGCTAGAACTCCTTGGAGAAGGGGGAGGGGGGCTAGTTAGAAGAAAGGAGATGGGGGAGATCCTGGGAGTCCTAGGCACAGTGCTAGGATTGGGGGCGGGGTGGGGTGGGGGAATGAAGACCAGTCAGTGAGTGTTGTGTTGGAAACATTCCTTGTGTATAAACTTTTAAGCTACAATAATAAAGACTTGAAGGAAGTTGTTCTGATTGCCTTGGTCAGTTTATTTTCTCATATCTCTGAAAAGCAAGAAGAATTAAGCACCAATTTCTCCCTTGTGTCCCCATAGTGACTGGCGGGGGGGGGGGGCTCGAAAGAGCTCAAGTCTTGCAGTGGGGGCGCGCGAGAGGGATGCCTTGGGAAGGGATTAGCCCTGGGACCACAGACGCACACCACACCTGGGCGGAGAACTTGGGGCAAGAAGACGGATCGAGATACAAAGACCCACGAGAAAGAGACCTGTGAGGCAAGAGGTCCTCATTTGCCACTGCATGTGTCCGCGCTCGAGGCGCGCGCGCGCGCGCGCGCACACACACACACACACACACACACACACACACACACACACATACACACTCAGCCAGACACTAGAACAGCTATAGCGCCGTCTAACTTATCCCAGTTTGGGATGTTGCTGGAAGAAGTGTGCTGTGCAGGACGAAAGAGACTCTGAACCTCCAAGGGCTAGGTTTCCGCCCTCTGAGTTGCTCTTGCACTCCTGGCCCAGCCCTTTGTGCCGCACCTGCGGAATGGTCTCCGACCATCCCTCCAGGTTGCTGGGAGGTGCGACTAGAAAAGCGCACCGGGGCACAGCGGCTCCATTATCCAGGCACAACTCCCATAGCTGGGATGGGGGATGCCCGCGCCCAGGACACCCCTCCTCCCGCTTCCCACGCCTCAGCCAAACCTCACTGCCGCCCACCTCTCACCCTGCTTGGGAATGGGAAGCAGAGAAGAAGACAAGGAGGATGGGAAAGACCGGGGGCGGAGGAGGGTGGGGAGGGAGGTCGTGGCGGCTGGCACCCATCCCTGTGCAGTCGTGGCTAGGAGCTCACTCAAGCCTCGCCCTCAGACTTTCCCCCTGCAGCTCCCAGAGTGAGTAGAAAGAGGCTCCCCGAGCAGGAGAGATCAGCGCGCCCTGCACCTCTCTCTGCTGGTAACATCTTAGGGGGGAAAGTGAGATAAACATAGTTAAGGGGGTCTGAGGCCAGAGTTGAGGACCGGGGTGAAAGGACTATGAACCCTGGGCAGTCCGAGTCCCGGGGGCATGGGGGCGTGTGGCACACATCTTGGTGCAAGGCGCGCGCGCGTGGGTGAGTAGAGACGCGACAGGCAAAATGGAAGACAGGCCCTTGCCCAGCCAGCTCGTCCCGATTCCCCGGGCAGCGCTCCCCCTCCCCCGCCGCTCTTCCCTGAAAACCCTTGGAACTGACACCCTAACATCGGTGAATTATTTTTTTATTGTATATATCTTTTGCTTTGAAAATACTTCAATTGAAAAATAACTTTTAAGGGAAAAAAATCAGCACAGATGGTATTTTTGCGTCCCCCCACCCCCCGCGCGCACTTCTCATCCCAAAACCTCAGGAAGAATAAACACAGAGAATGCGCAGCAGAGCCGCCGCCTGGAGCTGGGCAGGACCCGCCCTAAGAACTCAGTTGCCCCGCAAAGGCTTGCCCGGCTAATCTGGGTCCCCACTGGCCACTTGAGGGTCTCCTCGGGTGCAGGAAGTAACCCCTCTCTGGGTGTGATTAGCGAAACAGAGTTTTCCCAGGCGTCCGTCCGGGCCAGAGCTGGGAGAGCTCCTTGCGTCCCAGAGGCTCCTGTCCTCCAGTCAACCCCCACCCCAGCTCCAACAGAGTCTCAACGCCCTTCTTCCTCCTTCCTTCCTCCTTCCTTCCTCTTTCCTTCCTCCTTCCTTCCTCTTTCCTTGCCTTTCCTTTCTCTTCCTTCCTTCACTCTTGCTTTTTTTCCCCTCTTTCCTGAAAAAAAATATCCTTTTCTTATTAAAATGTGTGCTCATTACAGAAAACAAAGTAAAGCCTGAAGAAAATAAACCGACTTGTGGTAACCTCCCTGCCTGTGTGCTGTTGCCACTTGTAAATATCGATCTTAAAAGCAAAAGCAGATCCCGCCTTTGAAGCTCACCATTAACTTTTACCCACCCTGCCTCTCACGCTCTCCTTTGTATATCAATAACTGAGATTTGAACAATGCCAACAGCACGGAAGGAAAGCCAGGGACATCAGTCTGGGTGGGCACTCCAAAGGCCACAAAACCTGCCCCTCTGTCCAGGGCACAGCACATTTCCTAATATGAGATAGCCAAGTCAGCACAGGCGACCATCTTCACAGACCTGCGTGCTTTTTAGCATGTTGCTAAACTGCCTTCCAGAAAAATGTGATTGGAATTGTTTTGTATTTTCCCGATGTGCCCCCTTCTTTATTTTTAACTAAAAACCACAGAGATGGCACATAAGCTTATTCTCCATATTAAATTTTAAAGACAGAACATACAGTGGTACGCAGAGTCCTGGCTGAGAGCAGTTTTCTGACTAAACATCAGGACCCAGCCACGGGCAGGGAAGTCAATGTATCCCTTGGGCGGTGAAATCAGCTATCCCTTCAAGTCACAAAACCTGAAGAACTGAAACAGAATGCGTACAATAAAAATACCAGTGTGTGCTTCACCCAGAGTATTGGGGAAGTGCAGTGTCCTGCAATGGTAAGAAGGGAGGGGGGAGGGAGGGAGGGAGGGAGGGAGAGGGGAGAGAGAGAGAGAGAGAGAGAGAGAGAGAGAGAGAGAGAGAGAGACCCTGATGTGAAATGCAAGGAAGTCAACTCTTGGAAAGTCAAAAATGGAAGTGCTTGTGAGCCCTGACCTGAGTCTCACCTCTTCCCCTGGGGTCCAGGACAGCACCGGTGAACTGCTGGGAGCAGCTCCCTGCAGAGTCCATGTCAGATAACCACTATTGTGCGTGCCACTCAGGGATATATCTTCCATAACTGGGTTTGATAACCGCCCACCCACCCCACATGCTTCTCTCAGGCCCTTCCCTCCAGCAGCCCCCTCCACTGACAATCCATCTGGTCTGAGCAGGTCTGCGCCTGCAGACTCTGCCTGGAACCATCCTGGCATCTAAATGCCCCTCCCCCAGGAGGCAGAACTCCACTCTGTCCTCAAGAAAGGCAACCCCGTGTGCACTTGAGGGGGGGACGGGTAACACAAGGTTTTTGTCTGTCCCCTTCATCCACCCATCTCTTTGCTGCTCAGGATTCCCAGAGGTCTAGGGCAGGCTTAAGGTACAATCCAGCCTCCAACAGGGAGTAAGAAATGAAGGCTATTAAAGAGATCCTAAAAGGGGGGGAGGGGTCTCACTTGCCCTATAAGGGCAAGGGTCCTCTCAAGAATGTGTGGAAGGAGGGGATGGCATCTTTGGGAGAAAAAGCATAGCCAAGAAAGTTTGAGAATACATCCACACAGCAAGATGTCCTCCACAGGACTGCAGACGGGGAGGGCGTCCCTTAGCAGGAGGACAGGCCACAGGAAGAGGTCCAGCCTGTTGTTACACCTGAGCCTTTGAGGACAGGAACTTCAGACAGGGAAATGGGCACTTGTAAGGAGAACTTCAGTTGGGGTGGGGCATACCCATCCACCCACCACAGGCAGTGGGATCCTGGGCTCACAGGGCAGCTGGCATCTCTGTTTCCACCCAGCCGCTCTGCTCTAGGGTTGACCTGAAGGAAACAAAGTATGTAGATGGGTAAAGGAGTAGGCAGCGGTGGGTACCAAGAGGCCAGGCCCCCTCCTTGCCTATCTGCTAGAGACATTCATGAGGGGATTTACTCAGGAGTGGGCATAAGAACAACGCTTCCGGAGGCCTACTGGTTGGTCACCTTGAAGAACATGATTGCAGCCCATTTCCTGGATGAAGACAGCAAGGCCCAGTGTGTCCAGCCAGGATGTTCAGGCCTGAACTGTTACCTTCTACATTCCTACACTGAAGGCCTCACCTCCTGCAATTAGAACATGACCTTATTTGGAGACGAGGCCTAGAAAGAAGTGAATTAAGTTAAAATGAGGTCATTAGGGCGGGCCCTCATCCAGTCCTCCTAAGATTAGGATAGAGGCACACAGAGGAAAGACCATGTAAGGACATGGTAAGATGGGTCTATTAGCCAGCCAAAGCCGCACGACCACCACCACCCCATCCCAACTGTAGCAACCCGGTTACAGAAGCCCCAGGGTTGGAAGTGCCTTTGACCGAGGCTTGTCATCCCCGACTCCTAGGGTTTAACTGGGCTCCTCCCCATGGGGGGGGGGTGCAGAGGACCTGCTCCTCCTTCAGCAGACCCCCAGAGCAATGAGTCTGGGTTGGGGTGCTTGGTTTAATGTTCCTTTTTAAATATCTGCAAAGATGAGTACACACACACACACACACACACACACACACACACACACACACACACAGCTCTAGAAAAATCTACCCGAGGTAGGCACAGTCCTCCTCTCTGTGTGGGTGGGATTCTGACTGTTTTCTTCCTTTCCTCTTACTGCTTATCTGTAGCCTGTGATTTTTCAGTAATGAACGAGTATTGCTCTTATGACAGAAAAAAAAATGCAACTAAAAACAGCAGAAGTGGTGGCTGTCACCCGAGGCCAGGAGGGAAGGGTGTAGGGCAGGCACAGGTGTGGCTGGAGATGGTGGCTCTGGGCCAGGCCTGAGGAAGGGGTACTATGATTAGAGGTAGGCAGGCCAGTAGGCAAGAAGGAAAGGAATGAATTGAGGAAGAAGGAGGGCGGTGGGGGGTGGGGAGGAAGGCTGATGAATGACAGGAGACACAGTTACACTTGAATTTCAGCTAAACAATAAGCAGTCGTTGAGCGTGTGTCCCACACACTGCATGGGACGTCCTTATAAGAATTTTACTCCTCACTTCATTGTTTACCTGATGGCGAAATGGAATGGGACATTTCAAGTTGTTTGTTTCCCTTTGCAGGATCGAAGCTCT